TTTTTTTTTTTTTTTTTTTAGATTTTATTTATTTACTTATTTGACAAAGAGACACAGGGAGAGGGGGAACACAAGCAGGGGAAGCAGGAGAGGGAGAAGTAGGCTCCCCACTGAGCAGGGAGCCTGATGTGGGGCTCGATCCCAGAACCCTGGGATCCTGACCTGAGCCGAAGGCAGATACTTAATGACTGAGCCACCCAGGCGCCCCTAGAATGTGGTTCTAAAGAGACTTCTTTCCATTTAGTTGCCCTAGAATAGGTTGTTTGCAGAGCGCAGCTGGGACGGCCCGCGGCAGAGCGGCCTTCAGTGAGACAGCCCTTGTCCTGCACCCGGGGTGGAAATCCTGGGCTCGCACTTTGGCTTGTTCCCAAACGGGAACGAGTTAGTGGGCCTGTGGCTTGTTCCCAAACGGACAGAGCTGTCGCAGCAGGTCCTGACGCACACAGGCTTGGGTGACAGTGGCAACATAGGCACGAAGAATGCTCCAGTGCCACTGAGTCTCCCATTATCACTGTCCCCGACTGTACCCCTCCGTGTGAGGAGAACATCTGGGAGGCTGTGAGGCAGCTTCCCGAGCAAAGGATGCAGACGCTGCAGAGGCCTGGATTTCGCACTCCTGGGACGTGAACTGGAGGCATCCATGGGTGTCATTTTTTTAAAGGAAATTCTAAATTGCCTGTGACGACTCCTGTCCGCGTTGCCATACCATCCCACACTTGCTTCTGTCACAGCCCTCTTCCCACAGCTGCTGGCATTCTTGCAGTTTTAAACCCCCACCCCCAGGGAGGCCTCGAAGGCAGCCCCCCATCGTGTCGGTCTTTGAACCCAGCATTTCACACACATGTGCAAGGGGATGGAAGGGGAGGGGAGGGAGGGAAGGCCGTGCCCTGTAGTGTGTGCTGCTGGGGTCACCGAGCTTTGCTTTTCCCACAGACTGGAAACCAACACATCTATCAGCCTGTGGGGAAGCCAGGTAAGTGAAGGAACGAATTATCAAGAAGCTTTTATAATTTAGAGGGAGCAGGTTTTGAACGTGTGGAGTTTCTTAGCGTTGGAACACCTCGTGATTTTTTAACACTTTTCTCTCCACGGGCCAAGCAAGTATGAGGTTTCCCGAGCTCAGCCTATGGCTGGAATATTAGAGAACAGAACTCCCTGCTCTAACACGTCAGGAACGCCTCGGTAGCGTGCCCTGAATCGAGTGTATCTGCCGTAACGGGACTCGTGCTGGGTGTCGAGGTGGGTGTTTCTGTTCCATGTGTGATCGCGCAGCGCTTAACGGACGCTCCCCTTTCACCAGATCCTGCAGCTCCGCCAAAGAAACCGCCACGGCCTGGGGCCCCCGGTCACCTGGGCAGCCTCGCCAGCCTCAGCAGTCCCGGGGACAGTTACAATGAGGGCGTCAAGGTAGGCATCTGAGCCCGAGCTCTGCTCAGGGCTCTGTGGGGCCTCTCACTCTGGGGTTGGTGATCTGGAACCAGCGCTGGGACGGAAGGAGCAGAGTGGCGCTGCTGTGGGTCCCAGGCGTACATCTGCTCGGGCTCCGCACCCCTCCAAGAGTCAGGGACAAGCTTGACGGGAGCCTGACCTGCCTGGTTTTCTTTCACGTGATAAGAGTCTTGGGCCTCAGTCAGAGCCCAACTTCTAGATGGGGTGTCCTCTTATCAGACAGAATGTTCCTTGAGAATAAAGTTCTGGGATGGCTTTAATAAATCCAGACGCCTGGGGAAAGGAGCTCTTCTGCAGGCTCACTTTGTCTCTTAAGTGTGTCAGTAGGGCTTGGTGGAAAACAGCCACCATGTTCCACCTGGGGCAAGGACGGCGTTGGTAGTGGCAGCATGGACCACGGGCAGCCGGCCCTGGGGACAGGCGTGCCTCGGAGGGGGGAGCGTGCGGCTCAGGTGCGGACGGCCACAGCTGCTCCTCGCCTCGGGGAGCGCCGCCCCACTGTGCGGCACAGGGGGGCCTGTCACGGCTCCTGGCTGCCCCCCACCCCGGCCTCCACCAGCTCCTGCCATGTTGGCCCCTGGGTCCCTCGGAAGCAGCTCTCCTCCACGAGAAGCAAAGGCGAGGGTTCTCTCTCGTGCCCATTTAATGAGAGATCTCTCTGCTCTTCCTTGAGAGATCAGTCACCTCTCAAAATACGTCTTGTTTCTTAATTCTGATATACCTCTTTTGTACATTTTAATCTCTCTAAAATCAGGGTGACGTGGTGGTTTAATAGGCAGCTTTTTTTTCTTAGAGGAAAGTTAGGAAGGTGCCTCCTGCATCGGATTGGGTCTTAAATTCTGGTAACTATGTTATCAGTTAAAAGAAACTTTGTTTCACTAATAACCCAGTTCCTGGAGGCCCTCCCTGTAACAGGTGCGGTGGCGCTGTGACTGAACCTGTCCTCGCATTAGCCTCACAGGGTTGATGGCGGCAATATTATTTCCACATTTCAAGGGAGACAGCAGGGTTCACAGAGGTTAAAGGGCAGAGTCAAGGTTACAGGCTCCCTAGCTGAGCCAGCATTTAGCGAGCTGGCTGGGGGTTCCCAGAGAAAATAGAGGAGGCCCTAGGCAGAGAGAAATGCCATCTCTGGCCCAGAAGGGCGGTGAGCAGAGAGTGAACGGGCTGGCCCTGGCTAGACCCAGCTGTCCCCTGAGGGATGCGGCCCAGGCCCCACTGGGCCAGAGGCACCCCTGCTCTGAGTGCCACTGGTCAGCCCCCCTGGACACCAGAGCGCTGGTCCTGGAGCTCAGCCCGGGGCCTGGCATCTGGTGGCCCCCAGCTCGGGGGCACCGCATGGGGTATTCAATGAGGAGCAAATGGGGATGTGGCCCTTCCTAATGGGGTTTCTTGGCATAAATTTAAAAAGGGAAGAGGGAGAAATTAGGTTAACGAAGTTTGTCATTTACATGAGCCACAAGAGCAAATTTTCAAAATGGCTTGTATTATAAGGAAAACTAACTTGAGAAATGGTTCAGATAACAGCTTAGAATCTGACGTATGTTTGCCGTTACGTTTGTAATAGCATGAATGAATGTAATTGGAAAATACCCTCAAGGAGGGTGTTAAGCAAGGAGAAATCATGATATAGCGTGCTTACCTAAAGTGTATTTTTTTTAAGATTTTATTTATTTGAGAGAGAAAAGAGCGAGAGAGAAAGCATGAGAGGGGAGAAGGTCAGAGGGAGAAGCAGACTCCCCGCAGAGCTGGGAGCCCAATGCGGGACTCGATCCCAGGACTCTGGGATCATGACCTGAGCTGAAGGCAGACGCTCAACCAACTGAGCTACCCAGTTGCCCCATAAAACATATTAAGCAAAGTTTTCTTTAATAATAAGTATGAAACAGAGGTGCCTGGGTGACTCGGTGGTTAAGTGTCTGACTCTTGATCTGAGGGTCGTAAATTCCTGGGGCTCTGTGCTGTGTGTGGAGCCTACCTAAAAATAACAATAATAATAAGTATGAAGTCTGTGTCTCTAGCTCTTTCTTACCCTTCTGTTCAGTAGAGCTCACTGACTGCAGCCTCACTAGTTTAACACAGACGTGCTGGTCTCTAGGCGTGACTCGAGTTCATCCAGATAACATCAATCAGAAGCCCATCTGGGTTTCTCCTTGGTGGCTTTGTCTCACTTCTGGATTGCTTGAGGCCTGAAGCGTCGCCGAAGCCGTTGGAGCTGTGTGTGTCTCCAGGGCGTGGCACTCTACCCAGCTGCCTGCCAAGGAGCCTCCAAGTCTGCAAGCCCCGGGAAACAGGAAACTACGCTCTGGGTTTGAGGATGTTACTCTGCACAGTGGCTGGAGGCACTGGGCCAGAGCTTCTGTGGCCCGCCTTGATTGGGCCCAGGGCACACACGGAAGAACAGAAGCTTTAAGTAGGTTAGCATAAGGCAGCCTTTGCCTCCGGGAGCCCCGAATGGCGGAGGATCTTCCTGATGGCGCCCCGCCCGTGGCACCTGTTGCGGAAGATGGGCCTCTGTGTTGGGCCAGCCTGAAGTGGCACACGGTGCCGAGTTCGTCACAGGACCATGTGTGACTCTCGGCAGAGAAAGAGAGAGACAGCGGTGTCCTCTCTTGAGTGAAGTGGTAGGAGTGATCTCCCTCTTTCTAATGTAGGGACGCTCACTGTGGAAGGTTGGACTTGACATTTAAGATTCTGCTGAACTCCGGGGTACCTGGGTGGCTCAGTGGGTTAAAGCTCTGCCTTTGGCTCAGGTCATGATCCCAGGGTCCTGGGATGGAGCCCCACATCGGGCTCCCTGCTCAGCAGGGAGCCTGCTTCCTTCTCTCTCTCTGCCTACCTCTCTGACTACTTGTGATGTCTGTCAAATAAATAAATAAAATCTTTAAAAAAAAAAAAAAAGAAGAAGGAAAGGATAATGTCTTTCCTGCTTTAAAAAAAAAAAAAAAAGATTCTGCTGAACCCCTATACCAAAGGCTACACCTGTTTCCGGCAGAGCCAAGGAGGGGGCAAGAGAGCCGTCTTTGCCCAGTTAACTTGGTCTTTCAAGTTACGATAGGGTGGTCTTGGTGGAAGCTGTAGAAGAAAAAACATTAAATAAAACTTCTAAGTTTGAAATAAAGGAGCTTGAAACGTTAAGACTTGGCTCAAAAGAAGGGTTGTTTTCTTTGTTCTGTTTTTGTTTTTAAACTAAGCTCCTGATGCCTTTACACACTCAGCCTGAAGCCAGGGATCTTGATTCTTGCGGGAGAGCTAACGGCAAAGCCTGCTTCCGAGGATGCCAGGGGCCGGGTGTGGGGAGCAGGGGTGGGACAGTCTCTCCCGGTGGCCCAGAAGCCCGACGGGCAGTTCCCAGGCATGTCAAGCGCATCTCAAGGCCTCTTCTCTCGGAGGACCCCTAACGCTTGCTTCTCGCATGGCCGCTGGGTTGTCCCTCTCGGGCTTTGCGTATTGTTTTCGTCATTTACTTCTTGAAGACAAGCTTGGCGCGCGGCAGGGAGCTGGCACCCTGGACCGAGCACCCGGCCGTGGTGCCTGGATGACCAGGGAGCCAAGGGCTGGCTCCCAGGCAGGCTCAGACTCGCTCCTTTTGGTTCTGCTCGTGTGTTTTTGTGGGTTTTGTCTGCTGCCTTTATTAATACTGTTTTTCTTTTTTCCCTTTCTCTGATAAATTTCTCTAACTTTTCCTCACCTCCCGTTCAACAATAGCCATGGAGGGTAAGCACGTGATGTCTGTGTGTCTGTCCCACTCCTTCACTCCTGGTGCTCTGCATGTGACTCTGGGGCAGAAATCAGGAAGCCTGGGGAGGGCACCTTGGCTTGGCCTGTCCCCAGAGACAAGGTCTTTACTTGCCAGAGAGTGAGGCACGAGCCTCTGTGCAGGGACTGACTCTTCCTGTCCGTGGCTGTCTCGTACCAGACTTGAACACTGGGCTCCAGGTTCCTCGGACAGAGTGAGAGGTTCAGAGTGGGCACCTAGGAGTTTAGGCTGAGTGCTTATCCCCAGACCCATCAGCAGACAGCTATGATTTTGTACTGCACTCTAGTTTTCTTAAAATAGACACGTATGGCCCGTTCTGTGCCCCGTGTTTCCCATGTGACCTTTGAGATGCCGTCGGACACATTCCGTGGGCCTGGCGCTCACCAGCCTTCAGTGCTCGGCTTCTCGTGGGTGACATCCTTCGGGGTCTCTGTTCCGGGTGCTGGGGTGGGCGTGTGCCCGAGAGCTCCTTCAGGTCCCCCTTGCCCCAATGGCCCAGGGACAAGCCGAGGCCCAGCCACAGGCATGTGCACCACGGGGCTCCGGGTGACACTGCCATCTCCCTCACTCCTGCAGCGTGGTGCAGTCGGGTCCACTTCACGAGGCTCGTATCTGTCCCCTTGTTTCAGTCGTGAAAGGAACACACGTGTCCCTGATGTAGTCTGAAGGCGGCTACGCCGAGCCACATAACTAAGTGGGATTAGAGTCCTAACATAGGACGCTTGAGCCCCCAGCCAGCTTCCTGTGAAATCGCAGACGCAGACTACATAAACTCTCTCTCTCGGTGGATGATTCTGGGGGGCCTCGAATCACTGCTCTGAAAGAATCTGGGGCTTTTAATGTCATGCGTGTGATTCCACTTCCTTTCCTTTAACTGAGCTCAAAGTCACAAAAAACGATTGCCTCGTTCACTTGTCCCTTGGATGAATTACTTGACTGTCATCCTCCCGTGAGCTGTAGCCCTACAGACAAGCCAATTAATCGCAATCAGCTTTGATCTCTTTTAAAGACCCCCTCAAACCCGGCTGCGGTGAGGTGCCGCCACCTTGCGGCCACTGGGGGCATAACGGCTTCTGTGTTGCAGCTTCAGCCCCAGGAAATCAGCCCCCCGCCCACTGCCAACCTGGACCGGTCCAACGACAGGGTGTACGAGAATGTGACGGGCCTGGTGAAGGCTGTCATCGAAATGTCCAGCAAGATCCAGCCTGCCCCACCAGAGGAGTACGTTCCCATGGTGAAGGTAAAACCCACCCCTCCGTCCCAAGGAAATGTTCTTAAAATCGTGGAAGCCGCGGGTCAGACCCGATGATTCCAAACTTGAGCGTGTCGGCACCGCACGTGCCTGAGTTGAGTCGGACCAAACTGCCATCCCAGCCCTGCCGCTGGGGGCAGCTCAGGCTTTAACGGTCCCTGCTCACGCTTAGGGTCTTGCGTGAAAGCAATCGAGCGGCAGGATGGCGTCACCCCAGCCTGTGGTGTGATGCCGTCGCCGTGAAGTGAGAACGCGTGCGGACCGGTGCTGTGTGTGCGCCTTCGGGACACGCGGCTCTGCTGCGGGGGCGCCGGTGCTCGAGGAGAGCGTGACCTTCACATGCCGCCCCGGGGTGGGGGGAGGGGGGCGGGGGACGCCGTGGAGAGGGAAGTCGGGGGATTTATCTGTTCTGTTTTCTTCCGCTGGGGGGCAGGTGCATATGTGCTCACGAAATCTTTTTTAGTAAGGGCAGAAAGAGAAATGAAAATACTCAACACCAGCCTCACCTTTCCACGCTGCGCTCGGGGGCCTGGTGTCCCGGAAGAGAGTGCCGGCAGCTCTGAGGGAGGCTAGGTGCCCCTGGACAGGGTCCACGGGCGTGTGCCAGCCCAGGGACTCTGCAGCTCAAAAGGTGCTATGAAGCTTTGCTTTCAGCCTCTATTTCTGGAACACATCCTTGAACACACTTTTTTTTTTTTTTAAGATTTTGTTATTTATTTGACAGAGACACAGTGAGAGAGGGAACACAAGCCGGGTGGGTGGGAAAGGGAGAATCAGTCTTCTCACCAAGCAGGGAGCCTGATGTGGAGCTCGATCCCAGGACCCTGGGACCATGACCTGAACTGAAGGCAGATGCTTAATGACCGAGTCCCCAGATGCCCCATTGAACACACTTTTTTAAAGTGTGGTAAGATACACCGAATGTAGAATGTACCGTCCTTGCCACCGTTCAGCCCGCCGCGGTGTTACCTACAATCACATTGTTAGAAAGCTAATCTCCAAAACGCTTCTCACCTTGCAAACAGCGGCGCCCCTCCCCCGTCCCTGGCACCCCATCTGCTCCCTGTCCCCGTGAACACAGGGACTCCAGGATGCAGAGTCGACAGGGGGAATGGTGTCCTCCTATAGCTCTCCGGTGGGGATGGGCTCATGTTCTGAGGACAGTGTTGGACAGGGTCGTCCACGCTGCCACAGGTGTCGGAATGTCCGTCTCTTTAAGGCTGACTCCCACTCCGTCAGGGACCAAACTGAGTATTCCGAGAGCCCCCTCTTTGGGGGAAACGCCTGATCACTTCAGATCAGAGTCAGTACTGAGGAAACGAAGTTCAGTAATTTTCCTTCAAGTGTTGGGAACGAGACAGCCCCGTTAACTGAGAGGAGGCGTTGCTCCTGGTGTGAAAGCCCTTTGTGCGTGCTCTGATCCCGGGTGTGGGCTTGTCTCCTAGGAAGTCGGCCTGGCCCTGCGGACATTACTGGCCACCGTGGACGAGACCCTTCCAGTGCTGCCAGCCAGCACTCACCGAGAGGTAGGACCTGGTGCTGACGGAGCGGGCGGGAACGGCCGGGCTCGGGGCTGGCTGGGATGCTCCAGCTGCTCTGAAATCAAGACCTCCCAGCCGGGGGCCCTCGGGTGCTGGCGGGCCTGCCAGCTTGCGCCGTGCGGCTTGGAGGCAGGGTGGAGCGGCACCCGCAGGGGCTGGTTGGATCCGCGCCCTCACTGCCTGCTCCTAAGCTGGGGGCAGTGGGTGCCCGAAGGACGGGAGGCTTTGGGGACGGCGGGGAGCGCGGGTGCAGAGCTAGGTGCCGGCCGGATCCTTCAGCACCAACTCAGGTAGAGGCCAGAGGACAGTGGAAATGAGCTGAGAGAGGCAGCCCGCCCTCCTGCCTTGAATTTTCTGAAAAAGTTATAGTTTGCAAATGATGCTGGTTTCCCACATAAAGCAGTGACAAAAAGTGCCTTAATACTTGCATTTTAAAATTTTTTTGAGGAATTCAAAGTTGACCCGAAATACTATCCCTTGGCAATAATCTCATTTTTGCTATTTTTGGCCATTTTGCATCATGTGTTGACAAATGAGCAGACACACCTGCCTTGTTTTAAGAATGCTCCCAGCCATGCCAGGGTCCGGGGGTGCTCCCGGCCTCCAAAGCGTGCAGCCCCCGGGCCACACGTGCACACGCAGCTGTGTCCTTTGGAGTCCGGGATGGCCCTGGCCCTGCTCCCCCTTCCCACTCCCCTTCCCTCCTGCTCCTGCGCCCGCTCTCCTCCCGTCCAGCCCTGCAGCCCAGCGGGGCTCTTCTCCTGCGTCTTCTTAGTCTCTGTTTGAAGTGATGCCAAACTTAAAGAAAAATTGGGAGACCAGTGCAGAGAATTCCCAAACGTCCTCAGCCCAGTTTCACTGGCTTGTAACATTTCCCACGCTCTCTGTCTCTGTCTACACCCGCAGCCTCCATCCTCTGAACCGTGTGAGAGTAGGTCACGTGCGCCGGCTTCTCACCCTCCGTGTGTCCGTTCGTTTCTCCCGTCAGGAGGCTGTTCTCTGACCTGGAGGGTTTGGCCAGCCGGGCTGCCTGCACCCCTGCGCTTGGGCAGTCACGTCCAGTTGCCTCACCCTCCAGTTCAAGGCCGGCAGGGCTGTGTGTCCTGCCCGACCCCACACGTCTGTCCGGCCGTCTGCTTTGGCCTAGAGCAGGTCTTTCCGCCGCCAGCATTTTGGAAGAATATGGCCGGTTACTCGACAGTGTTTATTCCCCAAGTGGGGTTGAGGGGTGTTCTGCAATGATTGAGGTTTCCTGCCAATCAGATGGAGGCTGAGTGCCCCTTGGGACTTGGCGTCTGAGGCTCCTGGTGGCACGGTGATGCCCGTCTCGATGGACCTGGCCCGGCGCCCCTCCACGCTGCCTTTGCAAAGGGCGTCCGTTCACCTGCACGAAACCACCGAAATCATTTTGGAAAATGCCTGACTGCTTGCTTTGTGGAATTGTATATCTCTAGCCGGTTAGGTCATTAGCTCAGTCCTCTACTTCATTGGGACTTTAATTGATCTTCAGATTGTTCAGAATTTTCAGAATTTTTCAGCCAGAATTTTCCAAACAGTGGAGAAGTTCTGTATGCCAGAGGCAAGAAAATCGTATCCTAACAAGTAAATGTTTTGGCGGGGCCATTTCAAAAATACTCCTTTAGCTGATAAAGCCTGACATAAACTCTCCATCTACCCTGAGTCTTCTGCACAGCTCGCTCTCCCATACATATCTTAATTAAGGAGAGGAGCTTTCTTTGATCCGTCCCCCCTTCCTTCCCCCCCACGTGCTCCCTCAGAGAGCAGCCCATCCTCCGTCCTCTCCTGCAGCTGCCGCGGGGGCCACTGGCAGCCCTGCTCCCCCAGTCCCGGCTCCTCCTCCCCCTGCGCTGAGTGTGGCCGCCCCCGGGGGCCGCACTGGCAGCCAACATGCACGCCTTCCAGCACGCAGCTTCTCTGGGGCGGCCCTGCAGCACGTGCACAGGTCGCTGTCCAGTGCGTCCGGCTCTGTGCTCTCAGTGGGACCTCAGCCGTGCGGTGGATGCCCACCTCCCGCAGGACACGGCTGCTCCGGCTCGCTTCTGCAGTCGGCGGGACCACGCACTGGACATGCCTGTGCCTGTGAGCCCCGTGCGCCCACACGCGCGGACGAGCAGCCGCCCGCCCGCGTCATCGCGTCACAGCCTGGGCCTGGCCTCTCCGTCCTCACTGTCCCCGTGCCCTCGTCCCTCGGTTCCCACAACAGCCTCTGAGCTGCCTTCTCGGTCTCTGGCTTTCTGTCTCCGTTCCGCGTCCACGCTCTGCCGCCAGAGCACTCTTTCTAGAACACCCGTGTGGAGGATGGTGTTCCCCTTCCCCCAAATCTCTTCGGCCTCCCCACGGGCAGGGTCGGCAGGACGGAGGTGACTCGGCGGGGCCCGTGAGGCCCTCCTCAGACGAAGCCAGGCTCCTTGTACAGTCGAGGCCAATTTCAAACGACTTCCCAGAGGGTCCTGGTCTTCTGTCATGGGACTCGTCCCAGTGTGTTCGAGGGGGTTGTGCGCGGCTTCACACTCGACCGAGCCCGGGTGTGTCCGACGCACTCGTGTGTCTGCACACGGGGCCTCGTGTGTGCGCGCTCAGCCGTCGTTAAGGGTTGAGCGGTGGACGTTTCTGCTTGAACAGACGAGGAAGGTTCTGAGACGCGCGGGCAGAGCGCTGACCCTCAGGGCGGCCTCTTCCGGCTCCGCGGCCCTGCTGCCCCTTCCCAGCAGTTCGGGGGTCGCCTCTCACCCAGGAGAAGGGGTGTGAGCCCGAGACACGGTTGTGAGTGCAGAGCCGGGTGTCTGTGTCGACCGGCAGCCGCCGGCTGGCCGACCTCAGCAGCTCTCCCACTGTCCCCTCTGATGGGAGGGCCCTGGGCCTCGTGGCCTCCGAGGTTCCACCAGACGGCGACGTAAGGGGAAGAAAGCTGCTCCTCCGGGCTGTGCCCGAGGAACAGCTGACGCGACGTTCATCTCCTGACCTCTCTCTCGTCCTTCCAGATTGAGATGGCCCAGAAGCTGTTGAACTCCGACCTGGGCGAGCTCATCAACAAGATGAAACTGGCCCAGCAGTACGTCATGACCAGCCTCCAGCAGGAGTATAAAAAGCAAATGCTGACCGCTGCTCACGCCCTGGCCGTGGACGCCAAGAACTTACTCGATGTCATTGACCAAGCGAGACTGCGGATGCTCGGACCCACGAGGCCGCACTGAGGGCGCGCTCCGCGGACGTTCTCCCGCGTTCCACCAGCATGAGGGGCCCCGGGTCCTCGGCCGCCGGCTCGTGCCGCGCCAATGGTTGTGACTGACAGCTGGTTGAAAGCTCTTTCATTTAAATTTAACCACATTTGATTTGAGTTCAGTTTTTTTGTCTCTTTCTTTTCTTTCTTCTTCTTCTCTTTTTCTAATCATGGCATTCAGAAAAGTCCAGGATCCAAAACGTGGCATTTTTCTGAGAATGAAAATTGTTCGTGAGAAGCTTTTAAGAATCTTGAAGAACAGACCGTGTTCACGTTAGGGTGTTTCCGTGGAAGTGGCCCCGGTGGTGGTGTGCGGATCCTGAACCAGCTCGGCTATGTGTTGGGAGGCGGGGAGACGAGGCGGAGAATTCCGGGAAACCCGAGGGGCTGAGAATTCTTCGGCGAGCTGCGGAGCCACGGCCCGGACTCGAGTCTCTGTTGGGAGAACGTTCTTGAGTCGCCGTATGCTAGCACCGCTTTAAGAGAAGGAATGTCAGAGCTATATTTTGAAGACTTGAGTCGTTTCAGAAAAAACAACCACCCTTTTGTCTTTCCTGCCTTTTACTTTCCTGTCGGATATGTGAAGATTTGGTTGGAAGCTAGCTGTAGAACACACTAAAAACCTTGTCTTTTTTCACCAGAATAATGTGCCAGTTTTTTGTAGCAATGTTACTTCTCTTGGAAGCAGAAATGCTTTGTACCAGAGCACCTCCGAGCTGCGCTGAGAAGAGGTTCTGGAGCCAACCCTGTTTTCCAGTTTTATATAATTTATAAAGAAAGATTGAAGCCATGTTGACTCTCTCGCAGCCACTGGAGCTGACTAACCCTTCATCGTGTCTGTCTTCCCAGCAGAGAATTAAGCAAAGCAGAGATTCGGTTTTCTTTTGATGTCCAGTTACACCATCCATTCTGTTAAATAATTTTGAAAAATATACCCTCCCTTTAGTTTGTCGGGGGATATAAATTATTCTCAGGAAGAATGTAATGAACCATACAGTTACTTTGACCTATTAAAAAGGTGTTACCAGTGAAGTTCTTGGTGTAATTTCGTTTGGCTCCTTCAAACCATTTAAACTTCTTCAGGTCACTTGCCAGATAACGTACGGGAAAGCTCTCGATAATTACCAGGTTCTCTTTCTCTGCCTTCTAGACAAGTCCAGGATGTTACCGCGGGGGGGTGGCCGGGGCAGGTCAGCCTTTGCAGTCTGTCTCTGCTTACCACGTGCACAGTCAAAACAGCAATGATGTTCCACTCTGAGCCGTTCCCTCCGTGCCCGTGGGCTCCTCAGGAGCCTGACAGCCTCGAGGAACCGGCCCGGAGCCGATCTCTTGCCAGGGCAGCGGTCAGCATGTGGTCCCCCAGACCAGCCCACTCTGGCCTCGCTGGAGTCTCTGAGCGGGAGCAGGCAGCACCGAGCCCCGCAGACAGGGACGAGCTGGGACCTGAGCTCCCAAGTGGAGGGCTGGAGGGGGATGGCTCCTCGTGGGCCTATAGGACATGGACTTCCTCGGAGAAAAGGCCCGGAGGGGGGTTCCCCTGAGTTTCTCCCACTCTCGGGTGCTCTGCAGCCTCTCAAGTCCGGGTTCCTCCCCTCTGCAGTGGCTGAGGACGAAATAAGACAGGCCCGGGGTAAGTGGTGACGCCACCACGCCCGCCACGGGGGCTTGTTGGTGGGCCGGTGTCCCTTGGGGGAGGACATCCAGCTGCCATGGGGTAAGAACCGCAGCCTCAGAGGGAGCGACTACTCGAGACTGATACCCTCTGCCTCCGGATCGACTCTCCCCTACTACGAACAGCCACAGGTAGGTCTCGTGCGTCCTGTGAGTCACGCCATTTCAGTTGCGGGAACGGGCCCGCCGCTCGTGGATAGTGTCGTGTCAGCACGCGAGCTGGCGGACTGGTGGCAACAGCCCGTGGCGGGCTGGTGCGGGGGACCGAGGGGCCGCCGGAGGGACCGTGAGGTGAGCTGACTCAGCCGTGTTGTCCCGCGGGTCACCGCTGTCGGCGATCCGTATGCGGCCTCTGAAAGCCCGTCCGTGTTGGGTGGGAGCGGCCCTAGACGGAACGTCGCCCTGTGCGCACACCCTCCCCCTCTGCCACTCTCCAGCCATGTATTTTCTGCTTAACGTTGCCCGAATTAAAGAGCTTTACGTGGAGCAAAGAGCACAGGTCGCTGCAGCTGGCTGAGCGTCTCCCCTAGGAACGCGCCCTTGTCACAAGCGCCCACACGGAAGCCAAACGACACTTATGCCCCAGGAGGTGGCGGGCGGCCTCCCTGGGGCTGCTTGCGGAGATGTAGTTCACGGACAGTAACCGCGGGGAGAGCCAGCCGGGGACCAGCACCGAGCCGGGGAGTCGCCGTGCTCCGTCCGCCGCGAAGCCCCGTCCTGCCCGGGTACAGGCCAGCACCACCTGCACACACAGGAGCGTCTGGCGGTGTCCGTGCCGCATGTGCTCCGGCCGGGGTCCACGGCGTGGCGCGGCCACCATTTCCCCGGGCACCCGCGGGCGTGTGAGCGCCTGGCGTGCGTTCCTGTTATTGGTGTTTCTGGATCTCGTGGCAAGTGCGTGTTGAGCTTAACCAGAAAGGGCCAAGCCGTCTGCAGGGTGGCGGTGCCGCGTGCCGCTCGGGCCCACCGCGTACACACCTTCCCGCGGCCGCACACGCCCCCCCGGCCCTTGGTGGCTTCGGGCTCGGTGGCAGGCACGTGTGCTGTTCGGCGGCCAGTGAGGTCAAACACCTCTCCCTGTGCTTGGAGCCCCTCGCTGGCGGTCTCTGGGACGTGTCCGCACACATACCCTGCCCTTGTTGAGGGTGGGGTGGCTAGCATCTGTTACTGGGCGCCGGGACTGCCTTACGTGTCCCGGATACTAGTCCTTCGCCGGATACTCGTCTTCCGTGTGTTTTCTCCTGCTCTGGAGCGTGGCTGTTCATTTTCTTAAGTGGATTCTCCCTCAGAGTCTCCAGGCGCCTTCCGACGTCTGGATTTCGGACTTTGGCCTCCAGAACTGGCAGAAAATAAATTTCCAGTTTGGGGTTCTTTACGGCAGCCCCAGGACACTGGTACCACCTCCAAATGCTTCAGTGTGCATCTCCTGAGAGCAGGGGCACGTACTTCTACCCACACAGTATGAGCTCAGAAAAGGCAACGTCCCCCACATCCAAAGCCCAGTCCGGAATCGCGCCTCGTGCTTCCCTGTCCTATCTTTGGTGGAGATTCCCAGGAAATTTGCAAGCTCTTTGTCAAACACAGCCGTCATTGGAAATTAAATTATATACACTTACAATTAAATTCTATTTTAAATGAAGATAAACACAGAAGTCAGCACTTCCTCGTTGTCATACTGTCTTACAGCCGCGCAAGTTCGCGGGGCGGGGTCTGTCGTTCGTGTCTCGCAGAAGCTCCACGCGTCTCTTCCCGCGTCTGTTCAGTGACGTCACGAAATTGGCCGACGGGAGAGGGGCAGTAATTCCCCCGAGGAAATGGGCAAACGCTACAACTCATGGCCTTTGCCCCGGGATCCTGTGCTAGGCGTGTGCCTGCACACCGCTGCCCTTTAGTCCCCTTTGTCTGTTCTGACTGTGGTTTTGAAGAACACAGGCCAGTTTGGGGCTGTGGCCACGTTCGGGTTTGCCTGGTCGTTCCTCCTCCTCAGGTTCAGGGTGGCCAGCACACTCCGTCGTGGTCCTGCGAGCCCACCCCGTGGTAGGGGTTCTGCTCACTCCTTCTCCTCCCGGCTCCAAGGGTGACATGGCCGGTGGTGGCGTCGAATGGAGCAGGAAGCTCAAGTCGCACCCCCAGCATCCCGCGCATCGGAGCGAGCTCCAGAGAAGACAGGGCGGCCCCTGGGATCTAGCTGCACCGGCTGGGTTTCTGTCCCCGAATAAGGCAGAGTGGCTTTGCAGCAAGGGGACGCCCCTCCCCCCAGTACTGCAAGGACTTCGGGAAAGTTTAAATGGACCCAGGAGTGCTGGCTTCCGGTCCTTCCAGCTTTACACGTTTTCCTGGGTGATGTGGAGTGCGGCTACACGCGGGCACCTGAGCAGCTTTCTCGTGGGTGTTTCTGGAATGCCTGGTCGGCCACCGTCCCCCACAGGGTGTGGCTTCACGGAGCAGTGTGTGTGCCGCCACGCAACCACACAGATGTGCCGGGACTTCCCCGGGCTCACGGTGCAGCCGTTGTTGAAGGGCCTCCGGAGACGCGGCCAGGATGCGGAGTCAAGGTCAGAGCCAAGGTGCTGGAGAAGGTCCCGCCCCTGGGGGTCCACCGAGAAGGGATGAGCACTGCAGCTTCTCCCCAGTACGGAGCCTCCTCACTGCTGTCACCACGGGTCCTCAGTCCCCCCGTGAGACCAGCACAGGATTTCACCGACTTTCTGAGAAACGGGAGTGCACCTCAGGGTGAGGGAAAGGCCTGCTTCCCAGGCAGAACCTGCTGGAGGCGGAGGAGGCTTCCCGGCCCTCCGGAGGGAAACCCACTGTGTCCAGCCCTCTGCGCCCTCCTCTGTGACGCAGCCGCCTTGGGTGTGTCCTCACAAGGCCAGCATTCGTGTACCCGCGTGCGGTGACAGGCGCCGGCCTGTTGGGCCCTGACAGCTGAGGCCTCCGTGGTGCTGTGTGACAGACCGTACCGAGTGGAAGGGACTGCTGAAACCCACTGACTTTGTTCTACTAATTTCAGTGCCTGGAACAAGTGAGTTCGTTTGCAGAGAAAACAGGAAGAAGCACATACAGATTGTGTGACAAGCGCACACTCTTCTGTCTCTGTGAAGCTTAGTTTCTTATACAGATTTTCAGGCAAACAACTTAATGTTAACCCGAGACTCAAAGCCAGTTAGGAATTGTAAAAATTATAGATATAGACATGTATTTTTTTAAACTAAGCTCCACCCCCAGCATGGAGCCCCGTGTGGGGCTTGAACTCACAACCCTGAGATTGTGACCTGAGTCAAAATCAAGAGGCAGACACACTAAACTGACTGAGCCCCCCAGCACGCCTAAAAATTGTATTTTAGATCAAGAAGGATAATGCCATCACTGTTGGTATTCAATGTTGCCCATATTTTTTTTAAAAAAGACATTTTTTTCCTCAAATCAATACATCAATCGCAGATAAGTCTGAAAAATCATCTGGCGTCTTACTGTTTCTGGGGTAGGACAGCTTCGCTCGTGTCTGTCGCCTGCTGGACTCCTCCTTTTTCAGAAGCGGAGACCCCCCCCCCAATTTTCTGATAGCCTCGTTTTTAGGGGTTGTGGCTCACTGGATCAAAGCAGCTGAGTTGCATACAAGTTCAGTGTGTTTCCTTCAAGAATTAACTTATCCTGGGGCGCCTGGGTGGCTCAGTGGGTTAA